AGATTAATTTAGCATTTTTAATAGGAGAATTGTAAGAAAATAAAACGAGTTTCAGACAATGAAGAACAGTTTTCTCTTTGAAAGCAGAAACTCGTAGGAGCTAAACTCCTATTGTTCTCTGGTTCGTCTAGATATAATAATAAGGCACTGAAAGATAATTTAACAATAATTCTGAGTAAGTTGTTAAGGTGCAGACCATTTCTCACCTCAAAATCAAAATAATTGTACATTTTGCATTGTGACATGACAAATTTACAATATTCTTCTTACATTCTTAGTATTATTATGCAATTTAAAAAATTCAAATTGCAATTATGAGAATCATCCTTTAAAATCAGCTAAATAAATTCAACAAATATTATATTTATTATCATATTTATAATATAATATTATATTTAATATTATAATATTAAATATTATGTGCTATATAAATACTTTATGAATAGAGCATCATCAAATTGATTACAATATAAAAAAGCCACAAAATTATTGAATATTCATAATAATAATAATAATAATAATAAAATAATCCAGAACTGTTCTAACATGTTTTTAAATTTCTATTTTATTAAACAATGTATTTTAATTTTAACTGAACAATTAATAAACACTGAAGCTCAAATGTGTGACCTTCTGGGTTTCTCTGGTTGTATGGTTTGGTCAAACATCTTTAAAAGCAAGAAATTCTTTAAACCAGATAGTTAAATGGTCTAGTCGATTGGTGGGTGAGTCACAGTTAGATCCAGCATCGTTGTATACCAGACAGTTGCAACGAATGTCTACTTCTATTTTAAATGATGACTCCCACCCTTTGCACAGTGAGTTTCAGCTTCTTCCCTCTGGGCGGAGGTTTTTAATCCCAAGGTGTAAAACAAAGCGATATAAAAACAGCTTTGTTCCCGCTGTTTTAACTATGTTAAATAAGCTGTAGGATGGGGGAGTCTTGGAGAATTTATATCATGTATCTTGTATCATATTTTTGTTATCTGTTGTGTTATATTTTTAAATGTGTTTTTTGAATTTGTGTTATGGATGGAAGTCACTGTCATTTTACTGCAAGACAAATTTACCTGCGGGTATGAATAAAGTAACCTAACCTAACCTAACCTAACCATATTTGATGGATTTTTTTTTATTTTTTAGGCAAACTATATACCACACCTGTCGCTATTATCAATACATATTGTTGTATTTTGGAAATTGTGTAATATCTTGTGACATGACATATTGTTAAAGCCCTAGTCAGATTAGTTTTCCACTTTATTAGGATGATGAAGGTTCTGCTGCTGGCTCTTGTTCTCTCCCTGGTGTTAGAGAATGGTATGTTTAAAGCCAAACTGCTGTTTCTGAACGGTTTTAGATCACAAACCTTATCTAAAGAGTCTAATAATCTGTCATTTAAAGTGTCATAAAATCAATAGTTCATAATCAGCCTAATACCTGTTGTAGGCTTCGCCCTGACATGTTAGCCTATAACTGCGTCCCCGGGACTCCTGGAGGAAGTTGTGTGACCACTCAGGAAACGTGTGGCTATAAAAAAGACACTTGTGTATCGGCCAGATTCACCATGTCTCCCTGTGAGTTTCTTATCACAAATTATCACGTGTACAATAGATGTCGCTTTTAAGATGCACCAAAATAAGCTTTAGGAAGACTTTCACACAAACACATAAACAATGACACTCGTTTACTTTTATATTCTTTTCCATTCCTCTAGATTCTTACTTCCGGAGGTGCATTAGCATGGCAGACTGCATGATTTTTCAGTCCAGTCCCAGTATTAAAGCCAAGTGCTGTCAGACGGACCTGTGCAACACCCCGATCTAGGACGGCCACCTTGTTATTGCTCTGTTACAGGTCAGCAGATGTGATTTTGCGGGAGTGATAGACTATGCAAAAATCGATTTGTTTTAGATGGAAAGCATATTTGCAGTGATACTGGGTGATAATATGCTTTTAAATGCCAATAAGCCATATCCAGCTTATTTTGTACTGCGTAAGTAAACAAATAAAAGTGACATCATTTCCATAGTACATTGTGCAATGTGACATTTTTAAATGTTTCAAAACAGTATGACGTAACAAACGGTTACTCTCCAGAGTATCAATCGAGTTTAGCAATTCTGAACTGATAAACCTTTCATGTTTACAATAATATAGATGTTTAAAGAGGCTTCACTGTCTTATTTACAGATTTTGTCAGACAATAAATATCATGGTTTACCAAAAGCATTGATGATGGTGATTCATTTAATTTAATTCATTTAAAAAAAAAAAAAAAAAAAAAGTCAGAACTGTATGTTATCACAGACATTTAATCAGCAGTAAATCAATGTAAGCCTGCAGCTCCCCGTCCAGACCACCTGGTGTCGCTCTCAATCGCCTCAACTATTCACTGCATACTGTGACCATTACTGTACACTGAAAAAAAAGTAGATGAATAGTACAGGTGAAACTGTACTCATTATGCAGTGTAAACAAACATCTCTAAGAGTAGCATCTCTTACCATGCCATGTATTACAAATACCATGGTTAAATTATGGTTAGTGTAGCAAAACCATGGTTAATTTACTATAGTTACCATGGTTTAACTATAGTAACCATGTTTTTTTTCCAGTTTGTGGTAAAACCATGGTTAATTTTCGTTAGGGATGCTACATTGTTGTTGCATAGCATTGTCATTATGTTGCATGTTTAAGTGAACGGCAAACAATTAGTCTATTTTTCAGTCTCTATTTTGTGTGCAATGTGCGAATTTCTGTTCTGGACATCTAATAGAGACTGAATGCTTTAGAGCACACAAAGGGCCAAAAATCAGACCTGACTGGTGGTCATGGGCCAAAAGTAAATGTTGCATTATATTCAATTATATTATATTAAAATGTACATTTGTAAACTCACTTTTATTCTCTATATGTTTTATTGCAAAGGCCCTGGTTGGGCATCTTTTGCTTTAGACCATGTAAGAGTGAATAACTGCTCACGCGCAACAAAATTATCCTACACAACATCTACATGGTGACATTTTATATACCTATATTCCGGTCAGGTTTGCACAAGCACGGTAAAAAAGATAACAGAAAACAATTAATCTTTGATGCTGAACTGGAAATGACCAGAACAGAACAAAACAAAAATGTTACACACCCACATGGCCCAGTAAACCAGTAAAAGGGACACTTATTGCATCATCTGAAACTTAAGCCAAGAGCACACAGTGAACAAACACTTGTGTTCTTTGGCAGAAATTCAAAACGGAATTTCCAAATTCCTGACAAAGATTCCAGGAAATCTACAGGCAGCATCACAGTATATAAGGGACAAACACAGGTGTGTATGAACTCACTTCAGCTCAGCTCTGCTTCACAGTCAAGGTACGTTTACACAGCATTATGCAACTTTTCTTTGTTAAATTACACTGCATTAAGTTTATCATAAGATTAATTTAGCATTTTGAAAAGGAGAATTGTAAGAAAATAAAATGAGTTTCAGACAATGAAGTACAAATTAACAGTGTTTTCTCTTCGAAAGCACAAACTCTTAGGATCTAAACTCCTGTTGTTCTCTGGTTCGTCTAGAATAATAAGGCACTGAAAGATAATTTAACAATAATTCTGGGAAAACTGTTGAGGTGCAGGTCATTTCTCACCCCAAAATCAAAATAATTGTGCATTTTGCATTGTGACATATTTAAATGACAAATTAACTGTATTTCTCCTCACATTCTCAGTATTATAATGCAATAAATGTAAAAATAATAATAATTGCAATGCAGTTATGAGAATCATCCTTTAACATCAGCAGATTAAACTCAACAAATATTACTGTGCTATATCAATACTTTCTTTAATAAATTATAATCAAAGTAAATTATCAAAATGTCACAATGTAAAAGTCACAGATACAAAAAATATATTTTTATTGAACATATAATAATAAACTGAATAATAACAAAACATGCATTTGAAAAAATATGATCCAGACTTGTTTTAAAAACAGACATGTTTTAAAAGAAAGAAAAACATAATTATGTTAGACTCATATATGCTTGCACTCATATCACTGACTACATATAAATGTTTTAAATATTCTGTTTTATTAAATAACGTGTTTTATTTTGTATTTAATAATAAGAAAATATAATTAATAAACATGGAATCTCAAATGTGTGACCTTCTGGGTTTGCCATTTTTGATGCACCATTACTATATCTGATGCTAAATTATTTTGGTTGAACTACACAGTACAATACATACTGTCGCTATCCACAATACATATTGCTGCATTTTTGTATTGCGATATGTTGTGACACAATATATTGTTTCAGCTCATAGTCAACTGATCAGTTTTCCCCTTTATTCAACAGGATGATGAAGGTTCTGCTGCTGGCTCTTGTTGTTGCCCTGGTGTTGGAGAATGGTAGGTTTATGCTGTCTTATCTAAAGAGTCTGATTGTGCAAAACCCTAATGTGTCATTTAAAGTGTCATAAAAAGCATTTTTTCATAATCAGATTAACTGTGTTGTAGGCTCTGCCCTGAAATGTCACAACTGTGTCCCCCGCACACCTGGAGGACGTTGTGTGACCACGCAGGAGACGTGTGGCTATAAAAAAGACACCTGTGTATCTGCCAGATTTACAATCTCTCCCTGTGAGTTTCCTATTATTATCACATGTGCAATGAACTTTGCTCAAAAATATATAAAGAATTGTACAGAGAAAAACATGTCAAGATGAACAAAGAACCTCTTTTTCTTATATATTCTGATCCATTCCTCTAGATTCTTACTTCCGGAGGTGCATTAGCATGGCAGACTGCATGATTCTTCAGTCCAGCCCCTATATTAATGCCAAGTGCTGTCAGACGGACCTGTGCAACACCCCTGTCATTTAAACCCACACAACTCAATGCATATCAAGCCATAAATGGAAAAATGACCCAAACTGGAAACATTTAAGTAGTGCATGTCACACATATGTACATTAGTATAATTATTTACTAACGCAATGCCAATTATTGGTTAATGTTGAGTAATAGGATGTTGCACAACATGTAAATTAGTAATAGGGTGATTCTGTAAATATGGGCACTTTTTTCATATGTGTATACTTCATTCTAAAACTAAAAAATTTGCATGAACAAAATGCTGCATTAAGGACATGATTTTGCTACAGCTGTTTATCATTTCACCTGTGTCTTCAAGTCTGAGTGTTTTGCTCGTTTGTCACACAGCAGAGGCAAAATTAACAAACTGTTCATAAATGACCCTTCACTAATGTGCAGTCGGTCATACTGGTTTTATATGTTTAAAAAATGAGAATACTGTGCACAATATAGTGCAGGACTAGTATGGTAGCACTAGTATACAGGTCTGTTTTGAACTGCTTGATTTACACTCTTAAAAATAATGGTTATTTATTGACATTGATTGTTCCATTAAGAACCTTTACATTTATATTTACATTTAGTCATTTAGCAGACGCTTTTATCCAAAGCGACTTACAAATGAGGACAATAAAAGCAGTCAAAACTAACAAAAGAGCAACAATGTCAGTTAGCCTAACGCAGTACACGTAGCAAGGGGTGTATGTATATATATATACACACACACAAACAAAGAAAAACAAGTAGATAGAATAGAAAAAATAGAAAGCTAGTGTTTGTTTGTTTTTTGTTTTTTTTAAATAAAGAATAAAAAAATTAAAAAAAGATAAATATAGATAAAGTAGAATTAAAATAGTATAGAAAGTGTTAGAGTTAGAGGGTTAAATAAAGATGGAACAGATGTGTTTTTAGTCGTTTCCTGAAGATGGTTAAGGACTCAGCTGCTCGGATTGATTTGGGCAGGTCATTCCACCAGGAGGGAACAGTTAGTGAAAAAGTCTGTGAAAGTGATTTTGTGCCTCTTTTAGATGGCACAATAATACGCCGTTCACTTGCAGAACGCAAGCTTCTAGAGGGCACATAACTCTGAAGTAATACATTTAGGTAAAGGGGTGCAGAGCCAGTGGTGGTTTTGTAGGAAAGCTTTAATGCCTTGAATTTAATGCGAGCAGCTACTGGTAGTCAGTGCAAATTGATGAACAGAGGTGTGACGTGTTCTTTTCGGCTCATTAAAGATTAATCTTGCAGCGGCATTTTGGATTAATTGTAGAGGATTGATAGAACTGGCTGGAAAACCTGCCAAGAGAGCATTGCAATAGTCCAGCCTGGACAGAACAAGAGCTTGAACAAGGAGTTGTGTTGCATGTTCTGAAAGAAAAAGCCTGATCTCCCTAATGTTGTATAAAGCAAATCTGCAGGACCTTTAACATCAATAGAATCTTTTCATTCCAAAAAAGGGTTCTTTAGATTTTTAAATTATCTTCACACTAAGAAAAAAAAAAGGTTCTTTTAAGAGTTGTAAGTGTTAATGTTTGATATAGGGATGCACCGATACCGATACTGGTATCGGTATCGGGCCCGATACTGGCCTCCTGTACTCGTACTCGTACTCGTTAAAATGCCCCGATACCAAACGCCGATACCACACAGCATGTGATAAGCGCCATATTTAAACAAAGAAACACTGACAACAGACAGCAGAAAGGAGTTATGGATGTCTACTACGAAGTATATGTATGCAAAGCTGTCTAATTTTTGGTTGATTGTAATCTATTACATACCTTTCTATCAAAGTTATCTAGCATTATCAAGCTGAATTTGTTCTGACACAGTTTAACTCTGAGTTCTTGTCATGTTTTATTACCATTTTCTAAACTATAGCGAATAAACTGTGATAATGTGAGAAAAGATGAAGGTGTCTAAATAGATTTTGGTTTGACTGTATCTATTTGATAAATGAAGTTAACCAACTAACATTATACATACCCTTTTGGTTTCTGTACCCAATATTTAAAAAATTTACAAATGTAATAAAAATATAGGTATCGGCATCGGTATCGGCAAGTACCAAAAATAAAAGTTTCGGTATCGGGCGAGTACTGGAAAAAGTGGTATCGGTGCATCCCTAGTTTGATATAATATTACGTATTGCCGAGATTGTTTAATGAATAGTTTAGTTTATGAATGAATCAATAGTTAATCTTACAAGGTCGCTCCATGGTGGTACTCATTCTTACGAAATAATGGTCATTCAGCTGTGCTCTCAGACTGCACGCAAAACAAACATTTTGTACAAAGCACCCAGTGAAGTCCGATTCACAAACAAATGACTCTTATGAGCTGGTTCATTGTAGTGAATCAAAAAACATACCAGTGTACCAGTTGACCTGAAACTAATTACTCTTATGAGCCGTTTTTAATAAATAGTTCAACAGAACGAGTTCCCAGTTTGACTCAGTAACAATTCTCTATAAATAGAAAGCATTCACATAGAGAGCTTTCTTTTAAATGTGAACTAAATGCGTCAAGAAAAATGTAGGCCTGTCAATACCCAGCCATAATTATAATATCAGCAACATCTTTTCAAAATCCAATGAATTTATAATATTGTGTTGTGATAATGAAAAAGAACAAATACTCTCACAATACATTTTTTATATTCCACGAATCTTTCCAACATTCTTCTCTGCATTGTCCAAAAAAGAGATAGCATGTAATTCATTCATCTGTCACAATCAAAACGTGAAGGTCAAGTCACATCCACTGCATCGTGGGATATTGTGCTCTGTTGTATACTGCACACTTCTGGCTTTTACTGCAGGTAATTCTATGCAAACATAAAATTCACATAATGTACACAGTATACTTACTATATACTGCAGATCTAGTAAAAGTAACATGCATTGGATCACTAATACTGAACCCAAAACAGTCCGTTAAGAGTCAAAGAGAAGCTTTTAGAGCAGTAAATGGCTCATGCCTCTAGAGGGCACTCCATATTTATGGTCAATGTTTCTCCTGGACAGGTTGGGCTTGTGTCGGGATGGTAACCCTCATTCTGCCAATCTTCAACATCCACTCAAACCCCACCCTTGGTAGTTAAACTAATTCGGGTTAGTTAGTTAATATTGTGCTCCATGACTTGGGTGGGTCAGATTGTGAGATCAGAGAAACACTGAAAGTTGTTGTATTGATGAATCAGACTGAATGCATTACACTGCTCATGCTGATGCATTTCCTAACAGCTTTTTCTCAATAGATTTTTGTTCAGATAAGAACAAACAAGACACACCTTCGTATACTTCATCCTGATGACACATTTTGATGTGACTGCCTAATTATTTTATATGAAGTCATAACTTATGTTCTTTCCCACTCTCTGTACTGTATATATTATGAAATATATGAACCAGAAAGGAGTGGCAAACTTTGTGTGTCGTCACTCTTCTCACTCATTTCCTGAGCTTCTCCAATTTAACAGAGAAAAGCAACTTACTGTCTTGATGTCAAAACTATGTCATGTTCCTTTGCCCAGTCATTTTTTTCTTCTTTCCTTTTAGGTCATAAATTGCAAGATATATCCAGTATAGGGGTGATCATCAGTATCATGTAAAAGAAGATTTGACTAATACAAGATTTGAAAGAAAGACTAATACAAGTGGTATGAGAATCATGAAACTATTATACAGTTGTGTCAGATAATCACTGGGATGGTAATGGCCAAATATAAAGATTATCATCATTATATAAAAGTACTTGACCGCAGAATGATGCCATTGGCCAATCAAGATCTTCAGAGAGATGTGTGACAATAAGAGATAATCTTGAATGCATTTAGTCAGGTGTTTGCGTAACTGTGAACTTTTTAACTTTTGTGAACACTGAGGTTTTCTCTTCCTATGCAATGGTTTTACGGAAAACCACATATATTACTTAGAAAAGTTACTAGTGACCTGATGAACTTCCTCTGACTTTTCACCTCAATTGCATCCAGTTGAATTTGAGTTAATAGAATGAGGCACATTACAAAGAGCCTCAAAGAACCTTAAAAACAATGAAAAAAATCAGCAAAAGCTCAAATTGAACAGCTCAATTAAATGAAATGACATTTCTGTGTTGTTGTGGCTTATATTAAAACATGAAATATGGGAACATATCAAAGACAGAGACAAAGAGAGACATTCTCATTCTAGGGACCATTGGTCAAAAATTTGGAAACGCCTGTGAGTGCAGGATGATGTCATCAATAATGCCAACTTTTAGTTAAAAGACAAAGCTATCAGACACGGAGTAAAAGCCACAAAACTCCAAATTTGATTTGATGATATCTAAAAAAAAAATAAGCTTGATTAAACCGCTTTTGATAGTCTTCAACCCTGATTGTGGTTTTAACTGTTTGCTGAATAATAATTTGACAGAATGCAATACACACTGCTTGTTCCTATTGCATAACACAATGCTGTGGTGGTACTTTAAGGAACATTTACACCCCTTCAATGAAGGCAAGGTTTGAACCAGTAAACTTAAAAATGCATACATCTTCATGAAAGGGGTGGTGTATTGCTTGGACATTGCAGTTTCACTTCCTCTACACTATTTTTAGGGTTGAAAGGGAAAGTATTGCTCTGGTGCGATAACCCAGTCCTTTCTTTTCTATGAATTCAGGGAGAATTTATAATGTTAGAAATATCAAGAAACATTTCGAAAGTTAAATATCAAGGCTGTACAGTAAGTGTTTAAATACCACATGTTGATCAGTGAACAATCATAAAAACTTTTGGATTTAACAAGTGTAGGGAGACTGGGGACAATTACATATTTAAAATTTTCATCCATACACTCTAAAAAATGCTGGGTTGTCTAAAAAATGCTGGGTTAAGTTATCTTAATGACAAATGTCATTAAGATAACTTAATAACTTTATAGAAACCGCCTAAAATTAAGTACATAGAAGAGAAGAAAGCCACCCTAGGTAGCCGCCTATATTGCCCATGCCAGGATCCGCCACTGCCAGATACAGTTAGAAATGTAATCAAAACAAGCCAATCGCAAGATATCTGGTAGGGGGCACCTGGGGTGGCAAACCAGATCTCAGCGGGGGCCGGTGCCACCCCTGGCTACCAGACCCGCTCCTGGTTAATGCTCACTCCCATCAACGCCCACCCCTAGATATATCATCTATCGATCTGTCTACTATCTGTCCATCATCTATCTGTTCAGTGTAGGCAATCCCTTTTTTATAGTTTACATGGTCAATGTCACAAATTTTCTTACACTTCGAATATTACAGTAAATACTATTAGTTAATAAACATTTCTTCTTTTTCATTTTATGGGAGGATTTGCATTAAATTTAAAATTATGATAGTCTTTCACAACGTAAACATTTCAATGATACTCTTGTTTCTTGTATGTGTCTGGAACCAAATTAAGTGGATTTGTAGTTTTATGTGAACTACACTCTAAAAATGCTGGGTTGTTTCAACCCAACTTTGGGTCAAATATGGACTAACCCAACTTTTGGGTTAAAAATTTAATGTAAAAATTTAACCCAACGGTTGGGTTAGTCCATATTTGACCCAAAGTTGGGTTGAAACAACCCAGCATTTTTAGAGTGTAGTTCACATAAAACTACAAATCCACTTAATTTGGTTCCAGACACATATGCGTATAAATAGTACGCCAAATAAAAACGAAAACTCGTGGTACTGATACACAAAAATGGACTTTGGCGTACATATGATACCCATGTGTTTGGCGTGCATATAATACGCAGTTTTCGCATGCATATGATACGAAATTTTTTGGCGTGCATATGATATGCAGTTTTCACGTACATATGATACGCATCTACCCCACAACCCTAAGCCTACCCATTGCATAGCATGTACACGCCAAAGTCCATTTTTGCATATCAAAACCACGAGTTTTCGTTTTTATTTGGCACTATAAGCACTTTCATGAGATCGGGTTGGAATTTCTATACACTGCGCGATCAATCTATTATTTACATGTTATAATGAGAGGATTCGACTGTATAACTCAGCACAGAACAAAAATTGGTGTGTGTTGTAGCCTTGAGGTATGAGACAAAAACCAGCATATACTTTCATGAGGATGATGAAAATGTTTTCATTTGAGTAAAACCTTTAAGTCCCTTTAAGTGTTTTTCTTCACTGAATATGTACAATTTCTCATGTGGTAACATCTATTTTATTTGATTTTATTCAACCCAAAATATTAACCTAATTAATACATTAGATTACAGTGATAAAATGAAATTTAAGGGTTAGATCAGGTAGAAATAGATAACATTTGCAGGTTAGCACTTCTTAATAGTGTACCATAGATTCTACAATGTTTTTTTTTTCCTCATCATACTTTTGAGGCAGTGCCCCAGCCTGGCTGCCCCGCATTTCAAATGTTCTAGTCACGCCCCTAGCATTAAGTCGTGTGTGGACAAAATTCGCTCCAGTGTCAATTTGACTCTGCTGGGAGTTTCGCGTACTGCTATATTTAAAGAACACTATCGGAATCCCGTGAAGAAAAACAGTTTAAAAAAGTAAGTCTAAACTTTTTATTCATTCGTGTGTTACTTGCTGTCAGTCTTGCTGCTGTTTGTTCTGTGGAGAAATGCGTCTCAGGCTGTTCAGGGTCCGTAAGTGCGCTGACCTCTTGGGAGGTTCATCCAAGTTTTAAGGTTCTGAAGATAAGATTATCTCCCATAATTATAAAAAAATATAACGGTTTCTGCGTGTTAATATATTTATAAAGTAGACATTTTCAGTGTCTCTGTGCTTCTGTTTGGATGACTGATGTGTGAACTTTCAGTACTGAGAAACTAAAACCACACTTAACAAGCCACAGTTGTTCTTTACTGATGTAACCTATTTGTTCAATGTGCCTTAAGGATATACATTGCATATATAAGGAGGATACACGTTGCATAGTATTTGGACCGAAGCCAATGCTTTTTTGCATTGGAATCATTTCTTATGTTTTGGCAAGAAGCACAGTTAAAGCTGGAGACTGCATGATTTCCAGATGTTTTTTTTTTTTTGCTCTTATGAATTCCAGCTGTACTTGATTTGACAGGGTGGGGGAAAGAAAACCTCTTCACATAGTTAACGTACATCAGACCTGAGAACATCTCTCCATCATTCTCTGCTGGTTTCTGCACAAACAAATGAGACCGATTATGATAATGTCATAGCCATCCTGCTATTTTTCATTTTACATGTATGTTTTATTTATTAATTATCACAATCATCAATTTCTTGGGGCTACTGCATCCAATCTTTTTTCCTGGCCATCCGTTTTGAGTCAAACAATTATTTTGTCTATTCCACATAAATGGTGTGATTATGATGTGCTCGTCTCCTCATGACTCTGAATGCTGTAAACATTAACTTTTTATATTTTTAGCATCAGTCAAAACAAGTTCTTAAAGACATAGTTCTTAAAAATTTGAAAATTCTGTCATCATTTACTCACCTTCATGGTGTTTCAAACTTTCTTTCTTGTGTGGAACACAAAAGGAGAAATGTTGAAGCATGAACTGGCAACTCTTTTTCATATAAACTTCTTCTTCTTTTTTTTTTTAAAGATGCATGTGTTCCCTGTGATAAATTTGATTGAATTGCAAAACTCTCTGGTTAGATCTGCTTCTCAAACTCCTGCCCTATTGCATTATAACAATAAGGGTCCAGCTTTGACTGCCAAAATCCACACATACACACACAAACAGATGAACGCAACCATGTGAACCACAGTGGTGCAAATAAAGAGGTAGAACTGAAGTACATCTGTGTTCTGGGTTGCTAGGGTGTTTTTTTGAGTGGTTGCTAGGTGGTTCCTTTTGCTGGCTCGAGTCAGAAGAGGTGAACTAAGCTATCTAAAATATATATTTGCTGTGATGTAATAACTGCATGTAGAGTCATGTTACTTCTCGATCGGTGATAAGCCCAGTCATTCTCTTGTTCTGCATCATAGAAATTATGAAATACATGTCATTGAAGTCTGGGTTTAAGATAATGACTTCATCAGGTGTGAGATGTTATGCTTTTGTTTTGGTCGTGTTACTAGGTTCTTATGCATCCGTATGGGACGTTTCCATGTAAACGGGTGGGCGATGGTCACACCCAATAAACCTTGTGATGAAATTAAAACAGTTTGGTGCCATCTAAGATCCCACACGAACACACACTGTTGTGCACCGCTTTAAATAAACAGTTCACTCAGAAATTAAAATTCACCATCACTTTCTCACCTTTATGTATGTGCAATACAAAAAAGAGTTTGCAGACTGTTCACACAGCTGTTTTACATACAACGACAGACCAAAACAGAGAAATTTCACCATCACTTTCTCACCTTTATGTATGTGCAATACAAAAAAGAGTTTGCAGACTGTTCACACAGCTGTTTTACAACAAACTAATATTATGCTTCTGCATATACAAACCATCACTAAAAACAGACCAAAAACAGAATGTTTGCAAGATTGTTCCTCACACAAAACTGTCACTAACTTTTTTTTTTTTTTGCTTTACGAAAGAAAAAGTGGGGTACATGAGAGTAAAGTAATGACAACATAATTGGGGGGGGGCATGGACCCCATAAAGGGTCCATGCCTTTAAAATCTAAATCCGGCTCAGTGGAGTAGATCAGTAGCCTCCCATCTCATGTGCACATATTTGCCAGCTGCTTGCTCTATCTTTGGCTTTAGACCAGCTGCTGGAGACCTTAGACCTCATACACACAGTTGCAAAAGTGGACACGTACCAGTCACAAACTTCTGAATGTGTAAACATTCTTTGAATGTTTTTTGAAAGAAGTCTCTACCAAGGCTGCATTTATTTGATTAAAAATACAGTAAAAATGGTAAAACGGTGAAATTTTCCTGTGACGCAAAGCTGAATTTTCAGCATCATTACTCCAGTCTTCAGAGTTACATGATCCTTCAGAAATCATTCAGTGTTACTGACCCTGAACTTTTGAATGGAAAACTGATATAAGCATGCAGGGGTCATAGGTCACCGTAAGTCATGATTTAGTGTCAGCAGATGTGTGAGAAAGGTATTTGGAGGCATTCTAGCATTCTAATCATAGCTGTCTATGTATACTTGAAGGATTCATTCTAAACATCCATAAATCCCTGTGGAATCTCATGATACACAACACCCAGTGGAAAAATGTGTTGCTTAAAGGTTGCTCTTTAATAGCTCATGAGACTTAAATTCGTTTTCAGTTGAGTTTCAGTTAAACGGCAACATTGTGAAGATGTTTCTCCTAAAAGTCCTTGGGAGAAATAAAAATAGCCACAACATACAGTAAGAGTATAGTAGAGCTGCATGATTTGGGGAGAAATTTAAAAAAATTAATAAAAAAAAATTGTGATTTAAAGAATCCAGATTTGCTGTGCTTGTCTGTACACTGAAAAAAATAGTTGTAGAAATATTGAATTAAACTTGAAATTTTGAAGCGGAGTAACTGAAATAGTATTTTTGTCTAAAATTGACTTAATAAGCTTTGTTTTATTTACAACTTCGAAGAATCTTAAACTGAAGGCAACTCATCAGGCCTTGTGAAAGTTCTCATGACATCAATCATGAACGCATATTTCCTAATTGAATAAAACATGTCAAAGCAGATTTTATTTGCATTCACGTTTGTCCTCTACTCTGGTCTGTAGCCGTAGCATTCATGGCATACAGTCTGCAGGCTTCAGTGACTTACAGTCATCCAGAGCTGCATAGCACACATACTTGGTCTGGAACACATTCACATAGCTGCAAACGTATGAGCAGAACTCTCTGTGTTTGACTGTGTTATACTGGTAAACCTTTGGAAGTTTTTTAACTAAAAAGTAAACATAGCCAAACATGTTAGCTGAAGTGTTTAAAAGTGGTCTAATCGAGTGGCTAAATCTGATGAAAGTCAGCAAAATGAGTGAAATTTCTTACAACCCATTTAAATGAGAGGATAACTGATCAGTAACATACCTAGAGTAAATTTTGCCAAATTTCTATAGCTAAAGAGACTTAAACAAGCTCTCAATTATGTTTTGTTGATGTATCACATTAATTTTTTTAGAGACATCAAAAAAGAGACACAAATGTGTCAATATTTGTTATACAGTAAGTGCATAGATCTAAAAAAGGAATGTCAGATCATTTGGTCTGTTTGAGTTCATATTTAAATCTTTGAATTTGGACTGCAAATGTTTGTAACTCTGCAAATCTGAGCACTGTTTGAGAAATTTTTTAGATCTCACTTGAGTTTTAAAAGTGAGATTATTAGGTCTTGAGACAATAATATGATAAGAGCAATTCTTAAAAACTCTCAATTTGCATTTGCTGCTGAGGAGAAACAATTGAGGAGGTACTGCGGATGCGTGTGGTTTATGTTCAAATGAAAGGAACGGGTCTGAGAAATGCGGGCGGCTGGTTGTTGAGTTTTGGAATTTGGTGATAGTGAGAGAAGTCATGAGAAAACAGAAGAAAACATGTTAAGGAGATGGAAGAGAGCACAAGGCCATTTGGAGGAAAACACATGGTTCTCATTTTCAGTGTTTATTCAATGTCATGCAACGTCAGCATTTCTATTCCTCTTGATTTAATCTTTTCTGCACCAAAGTACTAGTGATCACTGAACATTTGTGAATAATCACTGATGTATATTTTAATGGCAATCTGAGGCACATCTGTCAGCGAAAGCAATACTGGGAAATTACTTTAGTATCTTTAAACAGCATGCTTAAGTTTATGGCTCATGACCAAATAGGCAATTACTTTAACAACACTGCGGAGAAACGCAGATGTGTGGGGACTTTTTCTTTCCATGGGGGCTTTAATGCTGCTGAACGTCTTGATGAAGTAACATGGGAGAAAACGTTATATTATGTTATATATAGGGCTGTCACGATTCCTCGATTAAATTCGAGTACTCAATTAAAAAAAAATCCTTGATTGCGTTTTGCCTGTCGATTAACCGGCAAAACACAGAAAGTGGCGCATTCCATGGACGAGAATCCATTAAAAGCATTATTAGACTGATTTCTAAGGCTGCACGAAATATTAAAACCATATAAAAAGCATAAAAAAGCATAGTGCTACTGTGAATTCACAAAGGCTGCAATTCAAATAAATAAATATAAGCGCTGCGGGTTTAATATGCGCTTTATTTATATGCGTGTAGGTTATGTGCATCTCAGAGCAGCTCCATTGACAGTAAATGCTGCTCCACACAAACAGTTTTCATTTACAGTGGGTATAGAAAAGAATCACCCCCTTTAAAATAATCACATTTTATTGCCTTGCAGCCTGAAATGAAGACGGACACAGTTTTTGTTTTATCCAGCTGTATTAACTTCCAAGTGAAAAATATAACACCAACGTGTCATAAAAAATAAAAAAACAGAATGATGTTACTCTTGTATTTCTTCGCTCTTGACTCATGAGATCTCATTTGCATTCTCTTTGCATTTACTTCACCAGTTAATCATTATCAGCAAATGCATCGTTAAACTTTTGTTGTCTGCTGATTCCAAGCCTTTACACCATTTTCCATCTAATTATTTTGTATGATGTTTTCCAGGATGCCAGGAGAGAGACTGTCAATCCGAGATAACTCTGCTGTCGGCCGTTTCCACGGTGTTTCTGCCAGCAATGGCCAGGCCGTCCCAGAGAGACACAGCGAGTCCAAAATGAAGAAAGAAGAGAGCGGATGCCGGCGTTGGTTTCGGAGGGCTTGTCCGTGTTGCTTCCGGCGTCAGAACAGCTCGAATGATGTGACCATTGACACTGAAGGTGGGGCTGTCGGGGACGGAGAGAATGAAGGGCCGACGTCTCCGATGACTGCCACTGGAGATACAGAGCTGGGCGGTGAGGAGCTGTGTCTCAGGCAGACTGATTATTGACATGATATTTGAGACTTCTTTTCATAAACTTCAGCTGAAGTTCCTCAAACTCAATCTTTTCTCATCAGAGTTGACTCTAGCAGTGCGTTCTGTGGATCTGCTCAGCCAGAAATCTGATCGGAACAAGAAGGAGCATCACACGGATCAATACCACAGCGACCAGCTCGTCGTCCGCAGAGGCCAGACTTTCCAAATAGAACTCGACCTCTCACGAACTTTCAACCCAAACACAGATAAACTTCACCTGGAACTGAAGACAGGTGAGCGTGAAGTAGCATCTCAGTAACTGTAAGGTCCGATTACACAAATATGTCCTTTTATCTGATCTTGTTGGTTTAAACATATAGTGAAATCTTCAAAAAAAATCTTCAAATCTTCACCAGTATTTTCACTGTTAGCGCCCAGGAAAAAAAATCCACAGTTCACTGAACACTGGTTGACACAAAGTGGGGCATGTTGTCACAACAAATGGGGTAAGTTGTAACAATGGGAACTTGTGACAACTTACACTTATTTGGACAAGTAATATCTTTGTTTGAAATATTAATTTTTAATGTTATATTTTTATATTGTTTTATTTTATATTCTGTTCTTATATTTACAATATGTGACCCTGGACCACAAAACCAGTCTTAAGTCGCTGGGGTATATTTGTAGCAATAGCCAAAAATACATTGTATGGGTCAAAATGATAGATTTTTCTTTTATGCCAAAAATCATTAGGATATTAAGTAATTCAATTTGAAAAATTGACCCTTATGACTGGTTTTGTGGTCCAGGGTCACATATAAGATGGCATTTCAGCAACATTTAAACAGTAGAATAATTAACAGAAAAGGTAGCATAAAAATCATATATATATATATATATATACATAAACTAGATAGATAGATAGATATTTTTCTATTAATTATTTTTCTAGTTCTGAATCTTTTGCTTTGACTCTCTGTGAGTACCCTCTCTAAAATTATTTTTTTTAAAGAAACTTTCCAAACAACTGAAACAATCAAGGAAATATAGTGGTCAGAAAGTGTGGGAATGCATTTATGTGTTACCTTTATTGTTTAAATGTTGCTGAAATACCATCTTAAATATTTTATATTGTAAATATAAGAATAGAAAATACAATAAATTAATATAAGAATGTAACATTAAAAATTCCTATTTCAAATAAATGTATTTCATATTTAATAACCATTGTATTTTTTCCTGTGCAATAACGGTGGAAATATTAAATAGATTTTGTAGTCAAGAGCTCAAAGTATTTGACATTCAGAAATGAGCCCAACATGAGAAATATTCATATTCAGAGTAAAAAGTGTGACAATTAGCCCCAGTCCTTTTATACACATGTATGCTGATGAACAAAACTATTATATGTTGTTATGTAAAAAACAGTCTTTCTTTCTACTGTTTCTGTTGACTGTGTTTTATAATTATTCGTTTTAGACTGCAAACATGATGGGAATGCTCATCTTGGGAACGCCTGTGATAAGGGCGTAAACGTGTTTGTTGGAAATTTCTCTCTCAAACTGCACCCAGTGATACATCTCACCTCTGGTGCAGAAAGAGGAAGTGAGGGAGTGAGAGATAAGAAGAAATTCATTCCTGAAGCAGTACAAACCACTTCACACTAATACAAGATAACTCAAGATAACTCAACTGTTCAAACTAACTGATGTGGTTAGATTCACAACCCAACTGACTTCCAAATTTCAGATATTCAACCCAAAAACCAGGAATTTATTGGATCATGAAAGTAACGTTTCATCAAAAAGCAACTTGACTTTTCTTTTTCACATCTGACACTTTAACATCTAAATGCATGACTTTTTTTAGCTTTGAATAAATCACAGATTTCATGTGCATAAAAACAGGAATTGAAAGAGGAAGGACCAGGTTTCATATGTGCGAGTCTTATGTGTTCTATGAACTTCTTTGGCCGGCCATGTGTGAATGAATCACAGTATTTCAGCCAGTGTTATTTTAGTATCATTGATGTACTATTATAGTTTTTCTTAATATTTTGAATTAGATTTTATTTGAATATTTTCTGCTTTCATTTAAAGTTTTAGTAGTTTTGTTGTTTTTTTTCATTAGTTTCTCTGTATATTTTATATTAATTTGAATGTATTTACTTTCAGTTTATTTAGTTTGAGTTATTTTAGTATTTCGAATTAAACTCTATGAAAATTAGAAATGCTGCCTTAGCAACTAGCTGAAATAAAATAAGTTTAAGTTTTTTTTTTTATATTTTATTTTAGTTAATGTTACTTTTTTTTTGCTTTAGTTTTAGTGAACTACAATAACCCTGATTTCAGCGTAGTTGTGTTTGGAAATGATTTGGCTGAAATCCTCCCTTGTGTAATAATTTATCAGGGGTTTCGAAACCTGGAACCGAATTCATCACGTTCTTCTGAAGGCCATTGAGCCTCTCCCTAAACCATATGTTTCATGTCGTCATTCAGGGCCGCTCCCGCAGGTGTCGAAGAGGACACACATCATCATACCGCTGGTGGACGAGCTCGAGGATGAGCGCTGGGAGGCCAAGATCGTGGAGCAGAATGTCAACCGGGTCAAGCTGTCTGTCAACTCCCCCATCACTGCTGTTATCGGGAAGTACAAGCTGACCGTCACAACGCAATGTCTGAAGACGAGTGAAACTACCACGCATGACTCCGACAAAGACATTTACATGCTCTTCAATCCCTGGTGTGAAGGTAAGACAGATAGAGTTCCAGGATTCTTAAAGGAATAGGTCACCCAAAAATGTAAATATGCAGAAAATGTTCACACCCTCAGGCCATCCAAGATGTAGAAGAGTTTGTTTCTTCATGGGAACAGATTTGGAGAAATTTAGCATTCCATCACTTGCTCACCAATGGATGCTCTGCAGTGAATGGGTGCCGTCAGAATGAGAGTCCAAACAGCTGATAAAAACATCCCAGTATTCCACAAGTAATCCACACCACTCCAGTCCATCAGTTAATGTATTTTGATGCGAACATCTGCATGGTTATTAAAAACAAATCTATAAAGACATTTTTAACTTCAAACTGTTGCTTGCAGCTAAAATACCTGATCTTTGAACTCTCATTCTGACGGCACCCATTTACTGCAGAGGTTGCGTTGTTGAAACAAAAACAAATTCTGAGAAACTGTAATTGAAATCCACAGATGCAAACAGATAAAATAAACACTTAAATGTGTATTTTAGATGTTTTCTTTTCACTAGTCTGAAAGAAGCACAATAGCACATAAACACAGTAGTCTCTTAGCTTAAGAAGATATTTTATGCTCATGTTTGCTATAGTTGCCTTTTGCATCAGCACAGAGATTGCAACATGTTCGTGAATTGCGTTGTGTCACATTTCAGAATGCAGTGAGGCATAAAGTCAAGCTTGCATAGATAGAAGATGACTCTACACCTTCCTTTTAACTCATTCATTAACTCATTTATTGACGAGAAGACAAGACACACCTCCACTGAAGCATGTCTGGGAAACACTGATATATTTAGCCTAAAATATTGCACAGGCAACCGTTAATGCAATATAACATGAAGGTGCAACAAGTTTCCTCTTGCAGCCCAGCGACTTATGTCACTCTTCAGGAGGAATGAACGTGATCTTGCTATCCATTTGAGTTCCATCAGGTTTGATTAACAGCTGCTTTGGCTTTGCTGCAATTACTGGCTATAACTCATAACTAATCTTGTCCTTACAAGACAGCTTGATTTTAGTTTTACATCATCTCTGTCAAGCAGGAATCAGTTTTGCTTGCGGTGCTTTCCTTATGGTTGTCTTTTGAAATATAAGATTAGATGATGGTTATGGCCACCTCAGTTTTTTTTTTTTTCCTTTGAAAAATGATTGTTTTGATAATAGATTCTGGAAATTCTTGCAAAAAGCATATTTATACAGACTTTTAAATGAGTTTTCAGTTTTAGAGGCAGCAGAAATGCAATCCAATAAGAAGTCTTAACTATATATTGAATAATGCTTAGGGATGTGAAATCAGCGATTGACGATTTCACAATACAATTTAACTTTTTGTTTTTTAACAAAATTAGATTTAAGACAAAGTATAAATGTAAAGGTGTCATTTTATTATTTCTCAGACAAAATGCTGCAAATCTTTGTAAGAATGAAAAATGTCAAATAACAAAACTAAATTTTAAACAAAGCCCAAATCAAATAAATAAATACAAATAAAAGAAATCTCTTCATATGAACAAACTAAGGCTTTGTCTTTGCTCTTTCCATTTGAAATCAGAGGCAACCACTGCAATTTAATCACAAGCCAAACAAAGATGCTGCATACATGCAACATGAACAGTTTTTGATTTAAATTATATTGTATAATTTCAAAATCAGAAGGGTCTGACTTTAGCTTTGTGAAATGTTACATAAAACATACCTGCAAAAAACAAAAACCGCAGACGGGCTGAATGAGACGCAGATTCACTCTCTGACAGCAGGTGGCGCTTATGGAACAGCAGCGATACAGCGTTTCCTTGGTTACAGCTGTAAACAGCAGCGCTGCATTTATAAACACTTTAATACGGAGGTAAGATTGAAAGCAAATACCGTCTAAACTTTTCTGAAGACAGTCAGTTCCCCTCAGATATACATTCATATAAACTCCTACTCCTAACTGCATCGCATCTCAACCGACTCGTCACATACCGTATTGGCCCGAATATAAGACGACCCTGATTATAAGACGACCCCCCTTTTTCCAGATGTACCTTTTGGAAAAAGGCTTTTTAAAAACCAAATCTTGTTTTTTCTCAGTAAAACACATTTTGTCTTCAATTATTTTCATATTGCATATTTTTCCTATTTTAATTTTTGTTTTGAAAGTATGGTAAAAACTGGTAAAATGTACCAACAATCACATTTAAAAAATATACACTTTTTGATATACCATTAAAAAAAACAAAACAGGTAGCCCATCTGAATTAGGACATTTAGGCTATCCATCTAATAGTAGCCTACCAAAATCTTATTAAGAGTAGAAGTTAAATCTTACTGTAGTCTTAAAATCACAAAGGGAGTTTGGTGTCATCAGGCTAACGTGACAGTCACGACTCATGCAGCTGTAAGGTTTTCTGCTTCTTTTGTTTTTACTTGCGCTCTTTACAACACGCATTACATTACGTATTTCATGGCACACTCGTTTTATGCGTATTTGGCGCCACCTATTGTTGTGGGTGTATTATTGACATGTCAAAGTCTAGACCCTGAATATAAGAGACGGCGTTTTTTCAGATGTATTTCCAAGAAAAAAACATCGTCTTATATTCGGGACAATACGGTAAGTTCATATATTTTCAACCAGCTGGGTGTGCATCGTTACATCCCTAACGATGCTGAATAAAAAATGTGGAAACATATTTGATTTACTCATATAGTTTTATAAAATACTATTTTCAAAACTGACTAATCTGTAACTACAAAATGTTATTTGGACAACCAGTTAGTAACTTAACTGCTTTGAGTGAAGTGAGCTATATGTGGTTTGATTCACTAAAAAGCTCATAAGAGTCATTCATTCAGCAATCGGTTGGACTGATTTGATTGTAAAGAACCTTTTCATATGAGTCATTTGTTCAAGAATCAGACTGATCTGGTTGTGCTGTATGGTTTTGATTGAGCTGGCTCATATTTAGTAGTTCATTCGAATTAAAAATAAATAAATTAATAAATTATTCGAGAATCAGATTCAATTGTGCTGTTTGTTCATAAGAGTTTCATCATTCAGGAATCGGACTAAATTAGTGCTGCACGGTTTTGAATCAATAAAAAGAAGCGGCTCATAATAAAGTAATTCACTCTGTGTGGTTTTGATCCTTTTAAAAGAACTGTCTCACAAGATCACTGTCTGTTTCGTGCTGTAGATTCATTACAGTGTTGCATCTGATAAGAATCATGAGCTAGATAAAACAATGCAATAATCAATCAAATATATTATAAATGATCATGAAATTAAAACTTACTAAATAATATTAAAAGGAGAACTTATTTATCGCATAAAATAATAAAAAAAGAACATACGTTTTACACCTTTTAAATTTTCATCATTCTGCATTGATTCGAAGTGTTGAGTCCTTATTAGTCTGTTAGTTTAGTTTTTTTGGGGTGGTTCAGGCTTTGCCCTCCTTCCTGCACTGAATGCCAGAGATGTTTTGTAAGGAGAGAGAGAGATCTGCCAAATCACCTTTCACTCCAAGCACTGTAAACCTTTTCTTTCTTTGCATTTTTTTCTGCCTTTTCTTCTACAGCTCCACCTCATCTGGCGATTCACATGTCAAATCTATCTTCCCTCTCCCGCTCTCTTTCTCTCCCTCCCTGGCCCCTCGTTCACTCCAGGCCCCTTCCTGTCATTCTTTACTGCTTTCTTTCAGACTGTTGTTTTATAACACTACATTTTTATGCTCTGGGATTTTGCTGAAAGCTGCTGGCTCATTCCTGTTCTGCAGAACATTGTGAACTCTGTAACCCTGCATCAATGTGCTTTAATTTAAGGAAGTGTTTCAATAACAGGGAGTAGCTGACTTTAACTTGACACAACTTGATTATTTACTCGAGGGCGATACAATTTAGAGGATGCCTATAAGAGGATTCAAATAAAGAGATAAAGTTAACCGTTGCTCATTGGGTGTCATATGGATCTTTTTATAACCGTCCGTTGTCATTTTGATATCATGATTTCTGTAACTTCATCAAATATTTTGCTAATGTTTATAAAATTTTTCCTTCCAAAATGATGCCACTTCCTAGAGGATAGGAGCTAGCTTTTATTAATTAAGGTGGTTTTACAAAAGACTAACTAACTAAAAGCTTATAGGGAAACAAACTATTAATGAAGTGACTAATTAAAGCAGTTTCCCAAGGAAACATGTTTATTTGAAACATTTTGATTAGAGAAAGGGAAAAAATGAATTAAAAAAAAAATTTTTTTAGTATTATTTATGTACTATTATAGTATATATATATATATAATTTTTTTCAGTTTTCATTTAAATTTAAATTTTGGTTTTAGTAATTTTGTTATGTGCTTTTGTCTTTTTTATATTTCTATTTAGCTTTTATTTTTATTTCAGTTTTAGTAATTTAAACTTATTTGATTTGGTTATTTGTCATGGCAACATTTTTAATTTTCAATTTATTAAAATCTAATATTTATATTTTATTTTATTTCAACTTTATTTCAAGTAATGAAAGCAATTTTTAATCGTATACTTTTAGATAGCTATAACAACACTGTTTTAGAAGTTGGAAAATTCTGCCCTACATTCAGTTAATTGTGGTATTGTTAACGGAAAACTAATCTTAAAGTACTTTTACTATCTTTTCCAGTATTAGAGGACCTACAATAATGTACAGTATTTGAAAAATAATGTATTTTTTTAACATTAAAGCATGTCAACATATTCTGTTACACCAAATACACAAAATAATGATCTTTAAAATAGCATCATATGACCCCTTTAAGTCCCAAACATAAACTATAGTAAGTATGAGCCTGCTGTGTTTTTCTGTCTCAATGCTTCACTCTTTCTGGCCTCTTTCCATTACACTTTTCTCTAGCATGTCTGAGTCATTTTTCCATTCATTTTATAATCTTTTCAGTCCTCTTGTATCTCTTCTGGTCATTTCTGTTACCTCCCTTTCTCCCCCTTTTCCCGTTTGATTGCACCTCCCTCTTGTTCAGACCATGACGCCCATGTCCAGAACAGAGAACATTCCATGGAAGCAGAACAGAGCAGATTCCAGATGTCCTGCTGTGGCTCACGTTGATGACATCACTCTATAACACTGTTTTCTTTTAAAGTGACCCAAACCACCGTATCAAATCCTGGAACAGTGTGTTCATGCTCCTTCATGACTCTCTCACTCTCTCTCTCTCTCTCTTTCTCTTCAGATGACACAGTGTACATGGAGGGTGAGAAAGAGCTGAAGGAGTATGTCTTAAATGACACTGGAAGAATCTACTATGGCACTGAGAAGCAGATCGGAGCTCGTACATGGAACTTCGGCCAGGTGTGGAGAGAAATAAAGCACTAAGAATAAAGCAGAACAAAGCACTTTCTCAGGGAAAAACATGCTGCTGAAAGATCCTTGTGAGAACTTCTTGTGTCATACAAGGAAGAAAGCACATTGCAAACCATAACTGACACACTGATATCAAACATAACGTTTTATGTACACAACTGCCAATGATCGGTGAACTGATAATTTAAGTGAAATTTGAAATTTAGTAATTTTGTTATGTCCTTTTGTCATTTTTATTGTTATTTTTTTAATATGTCTATTTAGTTCTATTTAGGTTTATTTTTATTTCGTTTTGGCAAATGTTAATTTTGGACCCTGTTTAGACTTGAGATTTTACCTGGTTGTCTCTCTCACACCCAGTTTGATGAAGGAATTCTGGAGGCCTGTCTGTTTGTGCTGGATAATAGCGAGGTTCCTCCCTCGGGTAGAGGAGATCCTGTCAATGTGGTCCGAGTCATTTCTGCCATGGTGAGTGCCGCCACATCCAGCAATACTGCTGGAACAGATTTGGTAGAGAGTGCCAGATTATTCTGATACTCTTAACAAAGACTCTTTATCCTCCCTGACCTCAGAAACCCCTAGTGAATTTATTTGATTGCCTGTTCTAGATCAATTCCCCGGATGACCGTGGTGTTCTGGAGGGAAACTGGTCTGGGAATTACGCAGGTGGGACGTCTCCCACGGCTTGGAGTGGAAGTGTTGAAATCCTCAGGCAATACCACAAAGAAGGAGGAACGCCTGTCAAATACGGCCAGTGCTGGGTGTTTTCTGGGGTCACAACCACAGGTATGTATGTGTGTATTTTTTAGGTCCCCATGAGGAAACAAGCTTATAAATCATACAGAATGAGTTTTTTTGAGAAAGTAAAAATAAAGAAAGTTTCCTGTAAGGGGTAGGTTTAGGGGTAGGGTTGGTGTAGGGCAATAGCACATACAGTTTGTACAGTAAAAAAACCATTACGCCTATGGAATGTCCCCTTAAAACATGGAAACACAACATGTGTGTGTGTGTGTGTGTGAGTAGATAACAGCCTCCATTTGCCATTCTCTACCATAGTAAAACTTGTGGTTAGTGATACAGGATTCCAGCTTGTAGGCATATACACCATTAAAATAAAAGTCCTTTATTGGCATTGATGGTTCCATGAAGAACCTTTAACATCCATGGAATCTTTCTATTCCATAAAAGGTTCTTTATAGTGGAAAAAGGTTCTTTAGATTTTTAAAATGTTCTTCACACAACGAAAAATGGTTCTTTGAAGAATTTTTCACTGAAAGGTTCTTTGAGGATCCAAAAATGGTTATTGTCCAATATTTTCAGAACCTATATTTTTAAGAGTGTAACAAAAACTTTGACTGTGGAAAAAAATCGCAGATAAGTGGAGTACGTATCTAGCATTTCTAAACTCCGCCCAACCCCATATCAGCAAACCCGAACACAAAAGAGAGCGATTGTGATTGTCTAAAAAAGTGTAGGCTGCTCCCCTTTCTTTTTTGCTGTTTATAGAGTCTGTAGTCACAGTAAATCAGATTTACTGTAATCAAACAGAAGTTCAGTGAATATTCACTAAAAATTACTTACAGTAATGTGAAAAAAATAATAATACTGTACAAGTGAAATGAAACATATTATTCCTAAAGTCAACATTATTGTCTTTCTTAAAGAGCAGGTCATATGGTATTTGAAGTGTCCTAATATTGTGTTGGAGTCACCTACATCAGGTTTAAATGCATCTAAGGTCAGAAAACATTGTAATTTTCTCAGAATATACATTTAATATTAGAGTAATTTGCCAATG